TCCTTTGTTTTTTTCCAAAAGTTGTCTCATCAGAATAACAAAAACGTTTTCATCACCTTCAACACAGGGCAGCGGTTTTCAACCGTTTTCTTCTCATGGCATGCATCATCTAATTGTTAAAATTCTGCTGCACACCAGAAATTGTATTGTTTGCCAATATGACAAAAAAGAGGTAAAATCATTCACACCGGACAGCTATTGTTGTGTTGGCTGTTGTCATTTTTTTATTTGACAATCTAAGGGAAAAGATGTCAGTGCCCTTGACGAAATAGTTAGGTATTGCATGTTTTAAAAATTCTTGCAGCACACGAGGGTGCCATGGTACACTGGTTGAAAATCACTGCTATACAGTCATGAGTCACTTAATGACAAGGATACATTCTAAGAAATGTGTCATTAGACAATTTCATCATTGTGTGAACATCATAGAGTGTATTTAACACAAACCTGGGTGGTATAGCCTACTATACACCTAGGCTACAAACCTATGGAGCACATTACTGAATACCATAGGCAATTGTAACACATTGCTAAGTATTTGTGCATCTGAACATATCTAAACATGAAAAAGGTACAGTAAAAGTATGGTATAAAATATAAACAATGATAGACCCATATAGGGCACTTAGCATGAATGAAGCCTGCTAAACTAAAAGTTGTTCTGGGTGTCAGTGAGTGGTAGGTGAAGGTGAAAGACTGGGACATTACTATGCACAACTTCATAAATACTGTACACTTAGGCTACACTAAACTTATTTTAAGCTGTTTTTCAATATTAAATTAAACTTAATGTATTATAACATTTTTGCTTTATAAACATTTTAATTTTTAATGCTGAATTTTTATAATAACAATAATACACCATATTGTACAGCTTCACAAAATATTTTCTTTCTTTATATCCTTATTCCATAAGACGTATTTTTTTATTTTTAAACCTTTCTGTTCAAAACTAAGACATGAACACATATGTTAACCTAGGCTTACACAGGGTCAGGGTCAGGGTCAGGGTCAGGACATATACATCACTGTCCTCATCTCCACATCCTGTCGCATTGGAAGGCTTTCAGGACCTGTCATCAGGAAGG